TGCTGAACCTGGGGTGAGCAAACAGCATGAACCAAAGATGAGTGCTTTTAAGGACTCCAGCTCCACTCACTGGTACAGAACATACAGTAACAAAACAACATCTACTGGGCTTCAGGAATAGTTTTCCTATTGGCTTTTATTGGCACACCCTGCCTTTTTTTTTTTTTTTTTCCAAAACAGTGATGTATTTTTTTTCCTGCAAAATTTTAAAATAAAACCCAAACTAAGTACAAATCTCTGCATTCCTGGGCCTTCAAGATAAACGATTCTCTTTTTGGCCTGGATACACGTTTCCACTTGAAAATGGAACCTGACTGGAAAAGAAACAGGAGCCGAGCCAAGTGTCGTCTGGCTTTGGGCTGCAGGAACCACTTTGGAAAAGCTGATCTGGCGCTGGGAAATGGCAGTGCTAGAGAGGTCTCCCCTTCTGCCTACCTAGGAAGGCCTCCATCCCATGGTAAGCAACTCAAATTGCCTCTCCATAGGAAAAATGACAGCATTAGAGAACATTCCCTTCTCTGCCCAACCAGGAAGCCCTCCAGCCCTCTGGAGCAACTCCAAATTGCTTCTCCACAGGAGATCAAGACCCAAGCCTGCACTCACCAGAGAAAAGCTGGAGATCATCACCAACCCATGAAGCTACATAAATGTAAACATCAAGCCCCCAGAAACAAGTTGCTCCAGAAAAGTTTTTACAGTTGTTGAAGACTGAGACTCACCACTTCTTGGATTTCAACCTCGGGGCCGGGTTGCGGGGGATGAGGAAGAGGGCTCTCATGGGATGCATGTCACAGAGAGCTGCAATTTGCAAGGATAGGCATTAAACACAGCACGGCGTCTTGCAGACCCCCTGGGCTTCCTAAGGGGAGGCTACACACCCATCTAGGGAGACTCAACTTGCCTCTGAAGCTACAAGACCTGCACGGCAGGAGGATTTGCAGTGATGACCCCGTGCAGACAAGCCCTGGCCCGGTGCTCCGGTGAGAGCTGAAGTCCCCAGCCAAGAGGGGTGTGTGTCCACCACAGCGCAGGGCAAGGGCTGGCTGGGGACACCTATGCTCCTGCTGCTGGGGGTCCTCAGCACCCTGCCAGGTGCGGCCAGCAACAGGCCAGGAGCATGGTACAGCTGCACCACATGCCACCACACTCTGATTTATTTCCTTGTGCTTACCAACACACAAGGATGGACCCAGGTCAATCTGGGAAACCTGAAAACCCACAGCAGCATGACTTGTACAGATGCAGCAGCTGAACCCAGCGTGCCACTGCCTGTGTCACCATGGAGATCAGCAGAACTCTGGCTCAGAGGACCAATATTTTACCTGCCTCCAGTCCTCTACCCCTTCCTCACTGTATTTCATTTGAGGAAACCGAGTTGGAGAGTGGTCAAGTGACACACCAGAAGTCATGCAAGGTCATGTGCCTATCCTGTCCTCTGGGCCACGACGCCCTAGCAGCTTTGTTCCCATGGTCCCTGTGAGCTCCATCTCAGCACGCCCTGGTCACTGGGGAAAACTTTTGTAGGGTGTTTCTTGGACAGAACCGAGTGCCAGCTGGTGCTCAGCAAACCCCACCACATCCCAACCCAGGGTTAATCAAAGCAGAGCAAGGCTTCTACTTACGGGGAGCACCTTCTGCCATCTCGATGGCCGTGATCCCCAAGGACCACAAGTCGCTCTGTAAAGAAAGCAGAGGGACATACATGATTCAGGGGAGCATCATCACAGCAGCAGGCATCGGGCAAGGGAGGAAGCCTGGCTCGCTCCAGCCCAGGGGAGTCAGCACTAAGAGCTGGTGTCCTCTCCATGTCCTCTCCAAGCCCCTGGGACCCACATTTTGGGAGCTCGTCTCATCCCTGCTCTGGCAGAGGGGTTGGACTAGATGATCTTTTGAGGTCCCTTCCAACCCCTATGATTCTATGATCCTCCTGCCATGTGGTGGAGCTTTAGAAGAGGGTCACAACCCCACTGTTTATCCCAAGATGTATTTAAAAATTTTCAAGGCATTTTCAGTGTGTATCTAGGTTAGACTAAAACCATGAAGTACCTTGAGATACATCAGGAGGCTCTAGTATCATGGACTGCTCACTAAATGGAAGCCTGGTGTTTTGCCAGTGGAAGGAGAAGTGAACACTTTTATTTACCCTGTTCCCAAGCCCTGCTCAGCCCACACAGTTGCTTCAGTCTCCTGAATGATTACAGCACATAGAATGCACCCATTTGGAAAACTGTTTGTACTTGTTTCACTCTTCCTTCCATTTTCTCCTTTGCAAACGGGAACATCTGCATCCCCAGCTCCCTGCCAGAAAGCAGTGGGGAGGCCCTCTCCAGCTCCTCCTCCCCACCATCACCTGAATTGCTGTGGCTGCGCCTCTGGATCTGGCAACGAGCCTCAGAGGCCAGCTTGGCTCTGTGGCCAGCAGCCGAGGCACAGACAGGACGTGTGTGGTGAGAGGACACGAGCAGCTTGGGGGTTGGCAGAAGGTGGCCAGCTCACCATTCTGGACACTGCATACAGGGCTGCTAATGAGCCACAGCCCAGCAACCATCGCTTTGCGAACAGGACCCAGGCTGGTTTTGGTGCCTTCATCTCAAGCGCAGCCTCTGACACATCTCCAGAGGGGTGGGGAGAGCTGCCTGGGATGGGAGGGTGGTGATGGCAAGGGCAGAAGCTGCAGGTGCACAAGGGACCAGAACAAGCCTGATGCTATGCAGCTGCAGCTAATGCTGGCTGGAGACCAGCTGAACTCCAGTTAGCGCAGCAAAACCAGTAAACATAAATAGGTACATCTCAGGGTGGAAGGGATGGATTCTGCCTTCCACCCTTCCTCCTGCACCTCCAGCTCTCACATCTTTCTCTCCCTTCGCCCTGCTCTCTGCCACATCCCTGCAGTCCCACTTCAGTTTTCTCTTCCCCATTTCAAGCACTACCCTTTCCAAACTGCCTTGAGCCCCTAAACCTGCAATTCAGTGAGAAGATCCCAGGAAGGCTGCTACTCCCAGCACAGAGCCCCAACAGCTCAGCCAGAGCTAGAGAACCTCTAGGGACCACAAGCACCTTCTGGCACACACCAACCAGGAAAGACAGCTTGGATTTTCAATTTCAAGGCACTTTTCCTCATTTCTAACTCAAGCTCTCCCCTAACAAATGTCATCCTTGCTACATGTCTTTGTACCTGCTTAAAAATTCTCTCTCAAATCTTATTTCCAGCCCTTTCACAGGACAGTCTCATCCATTCTTTGTTTCTGGTCAGCTGGGATTTCTGCCACATACTTAATTATTGCAGTCTTTCCACATGATTCAGCACACATGACCCCTTCCCTTTGGGTTGCCGTTGAACTCCTTCCAAATTCCTAGTGTGTCTTTCCATATTGAGGTGCCCAGTGTTATAGGCAAGATGCCAAGTGATCTTAAAGCTGGAGCAATACAGAAAAGGATTATCACCTCCTTAAGTCTCCCAGAGAAAGCAGAAAACTCAGCGGGAAGCACACATCCTATAATGATCTGGAATTCAGGTGGGTTTTTTTCCAGGAGGGGTTTTATTTTTGAGCCTGAAAAGCTTTTCAGTCCACCCAGCAGAAAGAGGCCATGCTAATATATTTGCATTGTCTTGACTTAGGAAGGGAAACAAGCTTCTTTTCCAGTCCCCCCATCTTGAGTCTAAGCTTATTGACAAGATATCTCTAAAGAAAAAAGGAAAAACAACCCGGGGAAAACGAATACATAACCTCAGCAAAGTGGGGGTCCCATTTGTTCTTTTCTGAAGAGGTTTAATTTTATGAGGAGGTATTTACTGCCATAGATCCTTCCATAGATTACACACACATCTCTTTCTGGCTAAGAAAACAGTGAGATCAGAGGCTTTTTGTCCAACAGATTAAGCCTGAAAGGATTCCTTTTTTCACCCTATAAATCTCATCTTTTGTATTCACTATTTTAAGCCAGTTGGCTAAACCTGAAAGCATCTCATTTGCATCCCTTGAAAAAAAAAATAAATTGTTATTTACATTCCTCCCCACTCCCAACATCAAAGCAAGAGCATCAGGTGCAGAGATGTGATCGGGGGTACAGAGCAATGTCCAGTGGCTCCCCCATCACTACGAGCTCTGAAAACACCCTGCAGTGAGTGTGTCAGCAGCAATCAGCCTTCTGCTCCATGTGCCCAGCCAAGGGAAAACGGCCAGTGCCAACTTCAGAGGCGCGAGCGAGCGTTTGATCCTTGGGGACAATAGAGGGATTCTGGTCCCAGGGCTTGTGCATCACTCAACGGCATAGTAAGTGCCCTAGTTATTCTGGAAAGAGGAAAAACCTCAGGGATTTCGGAGTGTGGAAAGAAGCCTATGAAGAGATCAGTCCCTTTTTAAAAGTAATAATAACAACATTTTTGTATAATATTAAATTATTATATTTTTATTATTATAATTACTATTAAGAGTGCTACAGCAGGCAGCTGTCAGTGGAGAAGTGGCAAGAGCAGCTAGTGTGGGCTCCAGCCCTGCCATCAGCAGAGCTGAGGAAAGGCCTCTTGTAACTGGTTCATCAAAGGGTATTAAGTAGCTGCAGATGAAGCTATTTGGACATGTTCTTATCATGAAGGATTTCTGTAACTGGAGTCTGAACTCAGACTGGAATGCTCCTGATGGAAAACCATCACTTGAGAAGTTGACTGGTGTGCTTCAATAGCTGCAATACCAAAGCACCGCGTGGTTACTTTAGAATCCTTCATCTCCCAAACTTTTCCCTGAGGGATCAGTAATTGCATCCCAAATGGTACCACCATGGGTGAGCTGCTGCACCATTACATTGTGGTGTCCTACCGTTAGACCAGAGGGTCTCAAAGTCCTTTTTAAACATTACTTTGTAAAGTGACCTCTCAGCACATGCATGAACAGAGGTACAGTCTGAGCTTCTTCTCCCCCCAGATTTCATGTGTCAGTGTCTTGTTCTCCTCTCTGGACACACTCAATGGACCCAAGGGGGTTTGGAGCTAGAAATTCAAGTTCTGGATTCTTCAAAAAACACAAGGAACAAAACCTCAAGGGACATTTCTACAGATGTATGCCCAGAAGCTTGCAGTAAGGCTCAAACAGGATAAGATACATGAAGTTCTCCCTGCTTTAAACATCAGGCCTCACTGTAGTTTGCATGGGCAGGTGGGACTCCTAACCCTGCTGTGTGGCATGGGGCTCTGCACCACGTTCTAACTCAGCAGCAATGTTGTGCTGCCACGATCCAAAAATAAACTTCAAACGGGCTAGAGAGGCATGGGAAAAGTAGGTCAGCCCCCCAAACGTCTGATTGTGTGGCAGCCTTCAGATCTCACTGCGAACACCAGCCTGCAGGCCAGAAGATATGATTTTGCCCTTTCTAAACCTGACCTGACTTCTCCTCAGCGTAAATAGAACAAATACAGCATGTTTGACCGTAGTATTTAAACATGCAGCACTCAAAAGCAGGCTAGCAGTAGGAAGCCTCAGTCTGACGCCTTTCTCAGCATGGGGAAAGACTTCTTCACAGTAAATTTGGATATGTCAACAGCACAACAAAGATTCGCGCTGGACCTGAACTGGCACCTCAAAATCCAGCAGCCAAAAAGCAGGAGGAGACTACACTGTTTGGCCATGTTATTTTTCAAAGCTGTGAGAATACACTGAACACCTGAGTGCTCAAGCTCATGGTACTGGGGCATAAAATCTGAGATTGTACCAAGCACCTTTGTCAGATGTTTATGATCACAACCCTCACTGCAGGCACCAGTAAGCACTGCTTTAATTCCTTCCCACTTTTATTAGTAAACATCCTAGACTTTGCAAAGATTGCACCTGTAACGACGTATAAAAGAGCACAGAGATGCTTATTTAGGTACCTTGAAGTCATAAGTGGCATCAGGATTTTCATCACAGGCAATGACCTCGGGGGCCATCCAGTAAGGCGTTCCAATGAAGGTGTTCCTCCTGCCCACCGTCCTATCCAGCTGAGCACTGACACCAAAATCCACTGTGGATCAGAGAGACAACGGGGCACCGTGAGGCCAGAGACAAACCTGAGCAACACTCTGCTGTTAAACACGGAGCTGATTCACACCGAATCCTCTGCAGGGTCAGGAGAGAAAGATGCAGCCAGAGACAGTCCTGTTTGATCTCTGCTGGGATCATCAGAGGTCAATCAAGGACAAACCTGATGATCTGATGTCCAGGTTCTGCAGAAAACTGTGTCTTTTCCTCCTTGCCAGGAGGCAATGAAAAGAAATCACAACTCCTCATACTAATGAGGAACAGGGTTAGCAACATGAATAAGCAGCAGCCTTTGTTCCACGCTTTCTCATTTGAATTAATGCCTGCCAAATATTGGTAGAAGTCTCATTTTTCTACCTAAATTTTTGCTGGAAATAGCAGAAACACAAAAAAAAAAAATAAACTTGAGGAACTAAGGGCCAAGGACAAAGGCCCATAGGGAAATGTCAAGCAGAGAGCTGCAAAATGAAGCAAAAACCGATGAAATCAAATCAGTGAGAGAATACTCTATGGTCCACTAAGTTCACTTTGTGCAACACAACGGTTGGAGATTTGCCCCAGAGAATTTCCCCTTGGAGGGGAATCTTCACCAGCACAAATCCAAACGAGCTGGTGGTGCCATCTGCTAAGCTGGGGTTTTATTCTGCTGTAAAGAGAAAGGAGAGACATGGGAAAACAAAGCTAGTACCTCACTTCACCAGTGTACGGGTTCTTCCATCACAAGCATAAATTAAAATGTTTAAAGACAGCCTTAATAACACTGGTGCTGGACAAAGAAGGTCAGCATGTCCTCTGTGCTGATCTGCTGTCTTCCATGTGATCTTCACATGAATGCTTGGTCTTCTCCAGGGTGACTAACACCACATATGAAATTTGGAGCAGTTCTTGCAAATTAGGCTCTCTCCAATGGGTTAGCTTGGAAAATAAGTTTGGATTACTTCACATTAAACTGGTTTAATGATTAACTGGTTTAAAGATTATCATCCTGTAGGACACTACTATGAACCTGTGGGGGAATAGCTTTTGATAATGTTTGGAGACGCCCACAGAGTAATTTTCAGTTTGGGGCATGAAAAAATGGGTCTTGATCGCTTAACCCTTATCTGATGGCAGAGCTGCCCAAACTACCTGTCTGAAGAGAAGCATCACTTCAAGTACATCTTTGTATGCAGAGCTTGGCCATCAACCATGAGCAGTTCACTGCACAGCACTCAGTCAACACCCAACAGCCTCAAGTTATTGAGGCTGGCAGGAGGGAAAACACAGGATAGCTCTTAGCATCCATCCGCTTTCTCCAAGTCATGTACGAGTCAGTTTGGCTGCTTCTCTCCAGCCAGCCCACTTGCTGTGTCCAAAAGCTCTACCCAACTCTTACCTAGTTTAACCTCTGCATTTTCTGTCAGCAATACATTCTGTCCCTTGATGTCTCGATGAATTACTTTGTGCTGGTGTAGATGACTCAAACCCTAGAGAATTCAGAGAAAGGTTAGAGGAGTCCAAGTTCCAAGCACATTATTTTCTGACGTTCCTCCTCATCCAATTATACTCCAGCAACAATAAAGATTCACAGTTGGGAGTTAAGCACTTGAGAACACTTCTGCTTATCACATGTTCAAAATATTGGCCTATGTCACACACAGAAGGGAGATGCTGGCAAGTGAGATGCCCACAGATGTGCTATATGTGCTGCAGAGGGTGCTCTCCATGGCAGAAGAAACACCAGTTCTACAGAGGTTAAACCCAATCTTTCAGTTCCTGCAGGAACCCTTATTTACCCAAATGCCTCTGTAGCTGCAGATATATTTCCCTCCATGTACTCCCTTGCCTTAGGGAGCCACTTATGTGGCAAAAATAAATAGAATGGTTTTGTCTCCTTTCTGTATTTCCATCATCTAGAAACTGAAGAAAACAATTCTTTTGTTGCATCAGTCCAATAAACTGGACTTTAACACACTGAAAAGCTTGTATTGAAAAAGAACTACCATGCAAATGCAAATGTTGTAACTTGCATATACCCCTAACAGAGGTATATCTCACATTAAAAGCCTGTCTCAAACGCTAAAGGAAAACTAGCTTTTCTGTTCTGCTTTTATTAGCTCACTAATTTCTTTTTTGCAACCTACTTTTTTCATTTCGTTCATTTATTATTTCAGTTTCAAAGTAGCATCCACCTATATTGTCAGATTAGGAAAAACATGGGTTACATTTTGCATTAGGTTTACACTTCACATCAAACATTCATATCTGAGGAAGAAAAAAATTTCTGCTATCACCACAGGTAGTTATTAGTCATTTTATGCTTGTTACCTTGGGACAACACTGTGGAATAGATTAGATCTGTATGGGAGCCCTTTTTTAGCCATTTATACCCATTAGAGGCACCTTTGTGTACTGGAGGCAAAGCAAAAATATCACTGAATTTCAATAAATCTTTCAACAATGTGGGATGGAGCCTCGTGTTTGAATTACAATTGGCTGTCAACATCTGAACAAAGACTGAGCAACCTTCTGCAGCACAAAGGTGGGAGCATTTCATCACCTGAAACCATACAGAGGTCACCAACCAAGTGCCCCAACGTGCAGCCAAAATGCAAGCAATGACACTCAATGGTGGCCCTGGGACATGAGTCAGTGGCTGGGTTCTGACTCACTGCCAGGGACTATATTAAGAAGTAGGCTCACAGAGCTCACACATTTAAAACAGACCCATGTAACTGTGGCATCCTTGCACTGAAAGGAGTGTCCAGACAACAACTGATTAGCTGCAGCACCAGCATCTTCTGCACATCGTGTTGGTGCGGACAATGGCATTCAGGGTCAACAGGGAAGTGCTGTGCCACCTCTGGACATCACCAGCAGCCTCAGCAGCCATGTCAGACACCTCGTTTTGGAGCACTCACTTTGTCTCCTTTTCTTTCATAGAAACAATTCAGGTTGGAAAAGACTTTTAAGATCATTGAATCCAACCATTAATCCAGCACTGCCACAGCACCCCTAACCCATGTCCCTCAGCACCACTACAAGTCTTCTAAACATCTCCAGGGATGGGGACTCCACTTCTTCCCTGGGCAGCCTATACCTTTTTGGTGAAGAAATTTTTCCTAGCATTGAATCTAAACCTTCCCTGGTGTGACTTGAGGCCATTTCCTCTCGTCTCATCACTTGAATAGCCTCTTCTACAGGTTTCCTTCATATGCCCCATATTTCCGTTTCTCTTGAACAAAACTTTGGTTCATGAAATGATAGACTTTAAGGTCAGGCAACCATTACAATCACATCATCTGACCTCAGTTGTGCAAGATGCAACCAAGCCTTTGCTGAAGCTGCCACCTCCAAGCACATGAAATTCTGACACAGCTCATTTTAAGACATTCCAGTCAAGCATTTATCTTGTGGGTATAAAAGCTGCAGCATCCTTATTAAAGCCAGCGACACGTAGATTTAATAAAATGCTGGGTGCTTTTTTGTCATGAAGACTCTTTCCACAGACTTTATTAGGCAATTGAAAATATAATTGTAATATAAAAAAAAAAATCTTTACTCTATTAATACTAAAGGAACCTACATTTTTGTTGAAGACAAAAGAGGGTTAAAAGCCAGGGAACTAACAGAGCTAAGGGGCATTTAAGAGGGTTTATATATTATGCATCACAGAAGCACATGAATCATTCATACCTACCAGCACCAAAGAGGCTCCAGCCCGTGGCAGCCACGGAGCCTGCAGAGCCAAAGGGTTTGCATGTCCCCAAGCACCACGTGTGACACTCCAGTGCACCCCGACATTTATCTCCCTCTGGACACGTACCCGTAAAATCTCTCTGCAGATGTAGGCGATCCACTCCTCCTTCAAGGTGTTCCCCTTCGTGTTCTTGATGAGGTCGGTGACAGAGCCCGCGCCACAGAACTCCATCACCAGCTGCCAAATGGGACAAAAATGTTGTTACTGCAGTGACACTGACAGCATCCCCCAGGCTCCTCGACCCCAGGGTGGACCCTGGCGCTGGCAACGCAGCTGTGAGACCACCAGGAGGTAACCTTGAACCTATCGGCTTGTAATCCATAGGGGTTTTGTCATAAAAATGAAACAAGAAAAGGCTGGAAGATGTGAAAGGCTTGTTGCTCTCCAGAAGGTTGGGGACAAGAAACAGGCATCAGACCATTGCTGAAAATCAGCAAAGGAAACGGGAAACTCTGAAATCTTAGATTCCCTGCTACATACCCTACTTCATACTTATGATCAATGTTTAGTATCAACAGCAATGCAAGCAAAACTCCACCTCTTGTGTGTAAGTTGCTCAACTCTGAGAACATGAAAGGCAACAAGACAGATGTTTGAAAGCTCTTACAACCTTAGAAACCAGCTATGCTATCTAACTTTTTTTTTTTTTTTTTTTTTTTTTTTTTTTTTTTTTTTAAAACCAGAAGGTCTTTGTTTTTAATCACCTTTTTGATCAGGAAACCTTCCTTGTGGAGAAGCTTGCCATGCAGCTCCAGGCTCTCCGGAGAGATCTAGTGTCCTACTGCTCACCTCGGTTCAAATGAGACCAGGCGCCACCACTTGTACCACTACCAAAGTTTCATAATAGCAAATATAGAAGTACAACCATCTAGCCCAGGCCCAAACTTATCTTGTCATTGAGCAACTGTGAAATAAACCTCATAAAAATAGCACAGGCTGTGTGTCTGCCTCCCAGGGACACCTCAGATCCCCAGGGCATGCCGGAGCTGTCAGTGTGCTCCAGAAAGCTAGCACAGCCCGAGTACCCAAACAGCCTCCTCCAAGAGCTGTGCAAGTGTCCCTCTCAGATGTGAAACCATGTTTTCCAGTTAGACCCGCTTGCTCCTAAAAGATACCCCCTTACAAGTTGTGCCTTGCCAGATTCTTCAATGCACATGTTTAAAGTTTCGTATCATGTGAAGCTTACATGGCATTTAATGTTCTTCAAGCAAATGACATCACTTTGTTAAAAGTATGGGCAAAGAGAAGTGAAAGGAACTGCAGAAGGGTTACCCCTAACCAAATTCCTCAAATGCAGTGACTTAAAAGACTATTCTAAGTAATCGACCACAAAATCCAGACACGGTACTGCGATAAACCTTCAGGTTAAATAAAACACTTGAGCAGACTATACCTTAGTTGGCTTTGACCATGCTCCTATCTTTAGTTTAGCTATTAAGTTTCTCTTTTCTTCCAAAACAGACAGATGAAAAATTCTTTGCATATCCCTCTTACGTCAGGAAACTGGCTTCAAGAACTGGATGTGTGACTGGCCAAGGTCTGCCCTGTGCCAAGGCAAGGAACGCTGCTGCAGTACTTGCAGCTCTTCCACCCCAGCAGGAGACTCCCAATCCAGCTGGGTCACTGCGGCACAGCCCAAGTCATGGGTTACTAACTGCTCACTGAATGGAGAACAATGGAACAACTGGTTTTCAAGTCACTTTTCCTCCTCTCCTCCCCTTTGAACGATTGACACATGGGGAGCATTAGCATCTGCACGTGTTTCTGATTAAATGAACGTTTGGTATACCATGGGAGCAAGCTTGGAGAAGAAAATCCTGGATAGCTGAGCCAGCCACAAACACTTTCCAACCCGAAAGGCTACCCTCTCCAGCCCTCTTCCATGGAAGTTCATCCACAGGCTCTCACCAGGTTTTCGAGCAGGAGGATGGGCATGCTACACTATGCATGGCAATCACAACGCTTAAAAGAAGACAGAAGAAAGCCCGTTAAAAGTCCAGAGTATATTCATTAATGTGCCAGATTATCTTTATGGAGCTGGCAGTTCACTCAGTCCTCTACCCTGTCCTTGATTTCCACAGAGCAAAGATTAATTTCGAACCAGACGGTGAATGATATGGCCGCCTGCTGATGTATCCCAAATCTGTAACTGTGAAATCTCCTGGATGGAAAGAGAGACTCACAGGGGGAGTGAACCCAACTCAGCTTTTTAAGAGCTGCACTGTCCCATAACATCTATAGGAGACTATCCAGCACCAGCAGAGCTCTGGCAGCACGGGGAGGCTCCAGGTCCAGCTGGGCAGGGGCCAAGGGGGCTCAGTGGAACGGGAGGAAAGCTGGTTGCTGTGATACTGAGAACCCTTATGCTTTTATAGCTTCCTTTGTTCCTCAGATGGAAGGATGCTGCTACAGAAGTCCCAACTACAGTTCCTACAATGCCGATTCCAAGGAGAGGAAACACAGTCGATGGCTACGGAGTCACACCAACAGGCCAGGTGAGACCTCACCCTCAGCACCACATGTCCTGCTGGCTGATGGAGCCCAAGAATGACAACTGCACGCTGCAGCAGGTCTTCTCAGAGGACCTGAGGACCTGTTCAGCCAGACAGGGGATGGATGGCTATGGGATATGAGTGTATGAGTACCAGAGCGGGAGAAGAACAAGGTAGATACCGGCACAACATCAACAGATCAACACCTTATGGGTATATTTAAGTTGGAAACCAACAGACAGCCTTCCAGGAGAAAAGGGAAGAAAAGTTCCAGCTGATTTTAGGACAGAGCTTAGTATACTCAGGAAAGGCTTCAAGTGGCACTAATGCTCAAGCACTTTCTTACCAGCCCTGTGTCTCTAGGTGAGTGCTTTGCCCTGCACACACTTGCCTCATTACACTGCGTCGCTAAAGGATGAAGCTATGATGGGGTGAGACAATAAACTTGAAATGCAGACTGAACTTTTATTAAACATAATTAGAATTATCATAAAGATGGGCTAAAGGTAAGATTACCTTCTGAAATTTAATTTGCAAGGCCATTTATTGAGGAAGTATTTTTAAATACAGTTCATTTAGCATTTACTTAGCTCTTCCTATCAGAGTGACAGCAAACTTCATGAGCAAGGTAAATTCAGAAGCAGCAGCTGGGAACCTCTGTGTCCTGTTGTCTGAAAAATCTGTTGTTCAAAGTGCCTTCACAGCCTCCACATCAACCACCACTTTCCTCATCTGGGAATGGCCATAAGTCCTCTGCTCCCATTGCTGCTGTACACTACCTGGAAGGGCTCAAACCTGAGCAGCCCCAGTACAGAAACCCCAATCCAGTTGACCATGAACTGCTCCAGCTTGGCCAGAAGAACCTTCCAAGATCTTCCAGCTCCTTTATTCTGCAAGCCAAATCCTTCCATGTCCCTGTTCCTCACCCCATGAACACTGTGAATTCTCTCTTACAGAAAACAAGCACACAACACCCCCAGGCTGAACGCTGCTGGAAATCCTTCTTCTTGCTGCGTGTGAAAAAAGGACCTGGGTGTAACTCAGTTCTGTATGCCCAGGCCACACAAGTCTCCCATCTCATCCCATCCCATCCCACCTCGTAGTCTAGCTCCCTGGCAAAAGGGTCCTTTATCAAAACCACTGTGGCATCTGGAACCAGTGACAGAGCATTAAACCCATGTTCTGCAACAGGCTGTCCAGAGCAGTGGTGGAGTCCCCATCCTCCGGGGTTTAAAAGATGTGTTGATGTGATCTCACAGGCCCCCTCCAACCAAAACGATGCTACGACGCTATCTGTGGGCTGCCCAGCACGGCAGGACTTCTCCATTCGTGGCTCCAGCACACCATGAATGGCAGAGGCAGACGACAGAGACCCAGCTGAGTGGGACCCCGCTGCCCTGCGGATCTGTGCAGTGTGCCTGTGGATGGGAATGAAGCAGAGAGCCTGCAGCTACTGAGGTGGGTGGCCTGCTAGGGAGGGGGTCTTTCCTTAGGGATAGGGTCACCTTCCCCATCAAGCTGACACTTCCCAACGAATGCCCCACCTCCCACTACAAAAAAAACCCCAAAATATCTCAAAACAACACCCCTGTTTATGTGCAGCCTGGTAACCTATACCTTACATCTGAGATGAGCAAGGGGAATTTAACGAGTTTAACTCTGAGAAGCAGCAGTTAACTGACTAACTGGGTCCTCACCATCCCCTGGGTCATTTCCCCACTTTCTGCAGCTCACCTTCTCTTTGCCCTCTCACACCCCAGGCTACTCAGCCAGGACCCCTTCTCTCAGCTGCAGAGGGGCACAATCCCTCCCAAAAGTTCACAGCACCCCCAGAAAGCAACACTTCATCCAACACAAGAATAAACCTACCTCCTATTTGTTAATAATTTTTAAATGTTCCATAAAGGTTCCTATGACTTTTTCTCCTATTTTTTAATTAATGGATCAGATTTGCGATGCACATCTCCATTGCCACCTGCTAAAATATCCCCCATGCAGCTCTTGAACTTCAGGAAAACTCTGTTCTTCAGTAACCTCATCTTTTGGGGTGAGTGGCTGCTATCGAGTGGAGCAGCAGCACTGAGAGACCTGCTCATCACCACGGCAGAAGCAATGACAATACTTCATGTCAGAAGCCTGCCACGCTTCTGAGAGATCTTAATCTCCACTGAAAGAGCTCCCTGGTTTTTATTTCCGTATCAGCCTCCTGGATGTCGATAAAAAGAATTACTTGGGCATTATCAGAAACCGTTTTATTCCAACAAAGGCCCAATGAAATATAAACAAGCCTTTATCTGTGTGGCAAGACTGATAGAGTTCGTGCAAGCACTAATTCAATCAGATCCTGAAACAAGAGCTATTTAACCCAGGACACCAGCACACCTCTGCTCCACAGCCAGGGAGCTTCCTCATGAACACTTCCACCAGCCCCACCACGGGGCACAGACTTAAAAAACCCCTCACAGCCCAGCCCTCCTCAGTGCAAGAAAAGCAGCTTCTGCAAAATATTTTTTTCACTCTTATGAGAAAGGTCCCAAAATTGAAAGGAGATGGAGTGTTCTGGAAGGGAGGTTAGATTAGCTAGTCTGCCTTTACCAGGGTCAAGAGCCAAGCAGCATGGTTGGGTGATGAACACCTCCTCCCCTTGCACGGCTGGGTGATCCACCAGGGACAAAACAGGTTCTCCTCCTGCCTTTGGGCATCTGGAGTCGATATGGAATGCACAGCATCTTCTGCTGTTGCCTGAGGGGGAGGACTGGTGAAAGAGCTTCTCAATCCAAGGAGTTTTCTACTGAGCTTCACTGTTTGAAAGTTTGGGCAGCTCTGGATAGGCAAATCACTTCAAACCCATTATTTAATGAACACTTGTGTATGCTGAGAGCTCTTTACACTGGAGCTGGAGGAAACAAACCCCAAGCCTCTTCCCTGGTCAGACAATGCCAACTCCAGATCCAAGCAATATAAAGGCACCAAGCAGAGCCCAGCTCCAGGGAGGGCTTTGGCACACAGTTGTTGAAGGCTCCCACACTCCGCCCAGGCACTCCAGCAGCACATGGGGAAATACTGTGGGTTGGTTTTCTGTTTTAGTTTTTTTTAAAAAAAAAAAAAATATTTGTAAACAGATAATAAACCAGCTAAAGCCAAATGGACCTTCACAGGATGAAACGGCATTTCTCAAATTGACAGCTTTCTCCTCGCTGAATCCCAGGCCAGTGGCAAAGAATGTGTTTTTTTAAAGAGTTCCCACCAAAAATAACCCCAGCACCCAAGTAAGAAAAGGCCCTGGAGTCCAAGCTCCCAGGTCTTCCCAATAATCCAGCATACCAGAAAGTCTTGGGTAACAAAGGGGTGCAGAAGGCTGTCAGCTCCATTTTTGTCCCAGGTGACATGAAGGAATGTCCTCCAAATTCCCCCTGGTTCTCTTTGCAGGGGCAAACAGCTGAAGGCACTAAACCTTTTGCTAAAATAAAGCCTAGATTATATGGAAACTCAAGGACAGAGCGTTCTGCTGCTCTTCAGCAATGCCATGGCCTCCCTGATGAATCATGGATATTTGTTACCCCTGAAAAATTAGGCTCTAGCAATCTTGTTCAGGCACAGAAATACTTTGGAAACCACCCATGTATAACCCAGAACTGACTGGATTTACAGGAGAGTGAGGAATAAACACTATTTAGACCACAGGACAACATCCAGGTTGTTATATTTAAGATAGCTCAAGTGTAGACTCTTCAACGCTGCCCTATGGAATGCACAGTCTCCAAATGCTGACCAGACCCTCCCAGGCTGTTGCTCCACAGGCTGAGATCAGCATAGCTGAGCTCAGAATACAGCAGAGTAACTTCAGGTCATTTTTCACCCCCCTTCCAGCAGTGCCCAGAGCCCCAGCCTGCAGTGCCTGCTGCCCCGCCTGACCCCAGGGAGGAGCTGGGCTCCGAGGCTCCGGCTGTCTCGAGACAGGCGCTGGATTTCAGCTCCATCCTCCGTGGTCTGGGAATGCCAAATCAATAACCAAGAAGCCACCGAGAAGGGACACAGCGGGAGAAGGCAGGCAAGGATTTATGGAGAGGCAAAGCAGCTCGGAGCCCTGGAGCAACATGAAGTGTCTTCAGTAAAAAAAGGCTGAGCAGCCACAGAGCTCCCTGCCCTCCCTCTGCCATCCCCATCCTCTTCATCCTCCTGCACTGGCTCTGTGAAGCATTCAGCATGAGAGGCAGCCCCATGAACCTCATGCAGGATTCCCGGCAGGAATCACACGCACCCAGCATTCCCCCCACCCCCAGCCTCCATCTTCCCAGTAAAGCTCCCAGCTCCCTCCAACTGTTTTTCTTGGTGCATTTGTTTTCATAGGACGGAATCATTTCCAATTGAATAGTGTAACAAAGATGCTATTAATGACAATTCAGAATAAAAACGGTTTTTATCATCAGCCTGCATAGATTTTATGGGAAAACACAGAAGCATTCTGCAGTGCAGGAAGAGCCTTTTCAAAGACATGACTTTGAAAAAGATGGATGCAAAATAAGGCTTTTTGTGTGATACAGGTCGTGGTAAAAAGACAACATGGAGTAAATAATTTGTGTTAAAAGCCTGTTATTTTAAAGAAAAGAAAGCAACTTACCCAGAGCTGATCATCCATTCCTGGTGGGTTCTTTTTAATAAAAGCACCATAATACGTAGCAATATTTCGGTGGTGAGAATACTTCTTCAGCATGTTAATTTCTTGTTTGATCTCTTCCTCTTCATCCTGGGATGAGGCAGAAAAAAAAGAAAAACAAAACCAGAGGCACTAAAAGACTGCACTTCACAGGCACAGCTTATCCCATCACTGCCTGCTAGGTAGCTATGATAAGACTCACATAATATTAGGGTCACCCATGGTTGAGAAGCCACCACATGGGGTATTCAATAAGGTATGGAAAAGCAGAAGAGAGCAGAAGTCTGGTTTGGGTTTTTTTTAGAGCACTGGCTTCAAAAATTTGCATATTATATATTAAAACAAAACAAAACAAACAAACAAACAAAAAAAATACCCAAAAACAAACAAAAAAAAACCAACCACCAAAGTGGTTTAATATAGTTAAAAGCAGCTTAAGGGGAAAATAATTAAATAGCCAAATAACACATTCCATGCCAAATATCTGATTTACTGCCTTGGATGCTCAGAGACCCTATCTAAGGGCCCTGCTCTAGAAGGAAAAGGTTTGGATCAGTGACATCTCCTTAAAGGTAGGGCTGAAAAATATTAGTTATTGTGTATAACCAGGTCTGGGCTACTTTTCTCTGACAACTTTTCTTGGCTATTTTAAAACCACCGAAGTAAGTGTGGACTCAGATTTAAGCTTTTGTTTGGCCTTGAAGTCATATTATGATTTTTCAGGTTAAAACTGTTGTAACCTCAGATTTCATCCCATGGGAACCCACTGCTATTTATGTCTTGGTGTATTTGGTGGGTCTGCACATTCCCTTCGAGCCTCCTTCACACAAGAATCAGATAGCCAGCACTTGTAGCAATTCCAAGTAGTCAGAAACAAATCTCATTCACATTGACAGACTAATTTCCATGCATCGTTTCACCTGGTAGCACAAAAAAAAAAAAACTGGGTGAAGGTCCTGTAGATGTTAACACCACACCATATAGGGTATTTCCAGGCCAGCTGACTGCTTTCACAGTGAGCCAGTTCTGTATGTGCTGAACTCCTAAAAGCTAATTAAAAACATTAATTCCAAAAAATAAGGTGGGTAGATTGCGACTGAGTCCTAAATTTTGAAATGTGTTATTCCAGTTGAAAAAAAAAAAAAAAACCAAAAACAACCACACCAAAACAGACTCTTACTCCCAAACCTAGCATTGCTTATGTAGGCAGGGATTTTGGGAGGTTTAACACTGCACTTAAAAATAAAAATATTCAAGAAAAATCACTTTCATATCATCCTCCTAAATGCATCTGTTTAGGTTTTTAGGGATCACAGCAATTACAATCATTTTTTCTCTTGTGTCCGCTGGGGAATGGTGAAACCATTCTTTTCCCTAAATCTTGTTATTCATTTACTTACTTGCACATTCTTGGTTCTCTTAATCTAAGTTTTAAAACAGCCACGTTTCTAAGGCCAGGGTGGTGCATTTTTTCCTCTTTATCAGTTTGATGCACAGAAGTAATTTAACTTGCCTAGTCAAGTTATTAATCACAATACCTGCACATCACTTTGGTGAACAAAAGCTTTTTGGTAAAAAAAAATGGATTTGGAAAAACTGAAATGTGTTATGAATACACAACCCTGTTGCTACAGTTTTCCTCAGATTTTATTAGCACATTCAAAAGAGCCACTGCTGGAACTGAACTCTCCCACATTTATTCTCCTCTCACACATTTATTAAAACCAGAACCTCTTCATGAGACGTTTCACATTAAGGCAAACGGGATTTTCTTCCCAGGAGCACAAAACCTTCCACCAGTCCCCACAGATTATTGCACCCCGGCCCCTTTCCCCTCTTATCTGGAACCGAAGGATGCAGGAAGAGGAGGAGGAGGAGGAGGATACGTTACCCCGGTGACGTCCATAACCTTAATAGCAGCAAGCTGGCCTGTTTTAACATGACGACCCTGTAAAAAAGAAGGGAGAAGTTTGGTTTGGTTTGGTTTGCTCAGTGGCAATGTTTTCCTCACGGCGAACAATATCCTTAAACAATATCCTCATCCTGGCAGCATCCACACGTTTGGGTTTTTTTTGCTTTTCAAGAGCATCTTCACAGCAGCCATGATGGGAAAGCAATTCCCTCCCCTTCCTCCTGCCATTACAATTAATTAGTAAATGGCCTTCAACACTGTATTTTCCTGGCAAACAACCGCTGGAAATAACCTTTAATGCTCAGCCATGCAAAAAAATCCCACCAGCTCGGGGCCTCTCCTGAGCACAGAGCATGACTCGGCTGGAAATGGTCTGCTGGAGCTGTGACAATGGCAATGTGCTGGCTGAGGCACCCACACGGCATTGACTTGGGTCCCTTCATGTCCAAACCCCAGCTCCCATGGACCTGGGGACACACCAGGGACTCCAAGCCTGCAGGGCACCGTTATCCACTCTGTCTGCTAATTAATTTATTGTGCAAAAGCCTCAGTTAGCAGGCTAGAGAGGTTTTTTTTTTTTTAAATCAGATTTGTTTCTTGGCTATAGAATCGACCCCATCTTCAGTGCTGGCACAAGCAGGGAGCGTTCATCTAGAGGAGATGCGCATCTAGAGGAGATGCTCGAGAGCCAGCGAGGAAACAGATGCCCCTTGACACATGCTGCCTCTCTGGTTTTCAGCAAGTGAAGAATTAGCAAATCACTGCAATGAACTGCTTGTTGTATAGAGTGCAACTACATTAATCCTAATGGAAAAATGCCTGGAAGTGATGGGGAAAAACTATAAAAGAGCCCAAACTGTTGATGAGGTCTTAAAACGAACCCAACTGCTATCAAGCAAGTCAGTTCCCAGCCTCTCCTCCTTTCCCGAGAAACAGATCACCCAACATCATATCAAAATTGCTCCTATAAAATCATCCCCACCTTCAACTGAGGGCATATGCTCTGCTTACAAACTAGGCAGAGTCAGAGGAAAAGATGCTTCTGCTCCTGGAAAATCAGGAAATGCCAATCCCAGCAGGGGAACCAAGAGGCAAAGGGAAGCACCCCTATTTCCCGCTCACTTCTTACTACAGGAGCAGCCCCAGGCCCCATCATGTGAGAAACAGCAAGGACTCCTCACAGGGCACCACAGGACACCCTGGGCTCCTGCCCTGCAGCACTGATCATTCACACTCCAAAGGCACAAGGAGGAGCAGAGGTTGAGAGGGGACAAGCTGCAGCATGGCAGAAATGGGGAAAAAGAAGAGGTTTTCCTAAATTTCAGGCTTCCCCAGCCACCCCACCAGCATGGTTGTTGATGAGCTGCGGGTTGTGCCCAGGTTTCTCAGCAAGAATCCCCAGTTACCAGATCCTGGGACCTCTCCTCAGCCCCTGGATCTTCTGGGCACAGGGCTGAGGAGCAAAGCCACGCGCCGTCTGTGGAGCAAGGCAGCTCCATCCCTCCACATTTATGACTTCACAAGGAAGCCAATCCACCCACCAGGGCTCCTCACTCATTTTTTGACACAATTCATATGTCCTGAGCAACTGCATGTTCTAACAATGGGACAAAAAGCTTTCTTTTGAAATGTGCAACATGAAAAAATACTAAAATAAAGTACAGCCCAGCAGCACTGAGCTGTGGCTGGAGCATCCCCTGGATGCTGCAGCTGGGAAGGGAAGGCACTTTGCTAGGCACCATCCATTTAGACAGTGTAATCTGCAGAAAAAAATCCTCCTCTTCCTAAATTCGTCCTTGTTTGCTTGGCCAGGAACCCCTCGTGTACTGACTGTTTAATTAAAGCCAACAGAGCACCAGCAAGGGATGTTCTTGGACACAACCACAGCACGCTGGATCCTCCATTAAACAGAGGAGGGACACAAAGCATTTCAGGGTTGCTACTTAAACCCAACTTCATCTGATGTATTTGCCACCTCTTTTGTATTTTAAGGAAGTGCCCCAGCATTGGTGTGGTGGAATGCTGCTGCCTACCTCTGGTACTGGCCAAGAAGAGAAGGAGGAGCCCTACTTGCCCACACCAACCTTCTCCCTGGGATCTGCCACTGTCCCATACACCTCCCAGATATATGGAGATGAAGGCAAGACCTCAATATTGTGTAAGCATTTACTAAAACACAAGAAACCACCTTGAAATGTAAGCCATGAGGGGCAGTCACACAAAAATTAGGCCAAGTAGAACCAATAAGTATTTAGCTTTGGAACTTCAGAAGAAAGATTTGCTTTTCATACAATTTGTTTGCAGTGAGGGATTGTTGAGCTTCATCCCACCAGACATCCACCTCCATCCATTTCCTCACCACTTAACTGTCCCTTTTTATTCAGCATATAACTAGTGCTCACAATCAATACTTGCAGTGAAACCACCATATATAGTTCAGCAAAACATGTTGCTTTTCTCCCTGCTGCAGGGTTTGCAATACAGATACATACACACTGGAGAAAGACACCGAGAAAACACATAAATGCAGCACAGGAAGAAAATTAGCATCTGACCTGCCCCCATTAAAACCTGTCATGGCAACAAGAAGCCCTTTTGATGGCATTAGCCACCAACTGGCCATGCAGAAGCAAGTTCCTGTGCCCAAAGGATGGAGGCAAGACCAGGAGCAGCCGTGCCCCTGCAGCATCTCCAAGGTATCCAGCTGGAGCAGCCACTTCTGCCAAAGCCCAGGCAAGCTGAAATTGTTCACTGATGTGTGACAAGCATTAAATCCTCCAGTGGGATCCCTGCATTGCTATTAAGAAGCTACAATTGGGGACTGGGGTAGCAAGACAAAGAAAATGACCAGAAAGCCCCTATGATTATGCTTTTACCTCCCATGTGTCCTCCACACTTCAAGGCTTGCTGGGTTTTCCCTTTAAACCAGTGTCAGAGCAGAGGCCTCCCCTAGAAAACCACACGACTGAGCCCATCTCCTGTCTCCTGGGTTTGCCACCATTCCCCCAACAGCAAGGATGTGGCTCAAAACAGGCAAGATTGCAGGTGCCTTCATTGAATTTCAAGAGAAAATCTCTGTTTTTTCAAAATTTTTGGTGCCCCTGTGTTTGGGAGCTCACCCTGTGGATGCTGGAGAAGGTACAGCTGCATGGAGGCAAAGCCTTCAGGAGGATGGGACTCTGGCAGGGTAAGGCCGTCACTTCTAAGCCTTCAGATCACACCACCACCACCACCAATGTTTTTGGTGACAGGAGCAAAGGAGGCCGGAGGGGATCAGCAATCTTTGCAGCCATCCTTGCTCCCTGCACCCTCCTCTCCTTCTGCCTGCTTAATAATCCTTGCCTACAGCTCAGTCATCCCTCTGCCTGCAGAAAAGGAGCTGATCTGCTCTTGAGCACTCTGTAACATTTTGTCTTCTCGCCTTCTTTGTCTCCTGGCATTGTTTGGGATTTTTCCACTTTTCAGCAGCGGGTGAGCTGCTTCCAGCTGCTTGCACACAAGAGCGAGATGCAAGAGGACTGGCATCCCCCCAAAGCCCAAGCTGCCATGACATCCCACCACCAGCCCCATCCTGCCACAGGGCTTAAACTCCTGCAAGGCATCACCTCTGCTTTGGATGTAAGCCTGGGTTTACCCACCTCTCCTTCCCTGCCCACACAGGGCAGTGATTGATCCCACCAGAAGTTCAAGAAGAAGAGATCTCCAGGAGGTGTTTTCACCCACCCCATGTTGGCTGTTCACATAAGCACCACGAGGCTTGAAGGAGCACTGCCAGCATCACTTGGGGCACAGCTCCCAGAGGTCTCAAGCACACAAATATCCTCCAGCATCTCCCTGCCACTCTTCCCAAAGCAGCTTTTGCATCTGGCTACACAATGTCCTGGTTGAACGGCCCAGTCTGCTTCAGTCTTTGTAAATTCAGCATGTTACAGACACCGTGATAGCTGTGATGGTGTACAACAAATAGGAGGAAATCTGAGCTACTAAAGCCTTTTTTCCCCCCTCTCCAGATATGCTGTCAAAGTTCACTTGGGTATAAACCCACATTTCAGCCTCAAGATTATTCAAGTGTGAACTTCAAAGCTGCCACAGTTTTTAATTAAACATCCATCTGAGCATAAATTCATGCTCCTAATTACTCTCAAAATGTTATATCAACTATCACTAACTTGCTAATGTCAAGTACTAAGATTAATTTCTGCAAATGGAGCAAGCACCACAAGTTTCTTCTTCAAAGGTTGTGATCCTCACACTCCATAAAGCGCAATGGGCTGGCACACGATGGGAAAATTGGTAAATGCTTTTAAATAGCAATTTAAAAAATTCAGGCATTTTATTTACTAAATAAATAAATAAACCCTGGCCTCAGCATCAGCCTTTGTACGCAAAAACCTGCATCTCCTCGCCCAAAATTCAAGCCCATGTTTTAAGGACCGAATGATGATGATTGATTGTTGCTTTTTAAATTTTTGCTTGCACAAGCACAGACTTCACCTTTAAGCAAAACCTGCAGTTTCTGTACCTGCACATGTATCCTGCTGTATTTACTTATGGTTTTGCTGCAGTTAAAATACCAAGCTGATGCCAAGAACCCAACAACTGCCCTTTCTATTGACCAGTGCCTGCCTCTACTCTGTGCCATCAGACAGCATGTCCTCAACAGCACCAACTCCAGCACACACATTCTTACAACAGGAACGGTGTGGGACACTCTTTTCTGTCAGGTGAGGAATCATCAGTCCATTTTTCTACATTAACATATAATTTTTGATAGGTGCTACCTACAACAAACTCTTTGTCAAGCCCTACTTCTGCAGGCACACCATCAAGGTCTTCACTGGTGAGGAACATCTCCTCCAGTCTCTGTTTCTCCATCCCAGTCTGTAATGGAGCTCTACTGGGACGGGCCAAAACTTCATGCAGGTCCTTGGTCCAGGTCCTGCCAGTTCCTTGTTTTCCTGTAATTCAAAGCAATTTTGTCCAAGATTTTTAGTATGAAGGCACTTTAGCACTAACGCACAGAAAATTGCATCCAG